CTTTAACTCTCTCTCCCTCTCACCTTAACCTTCCCCCAAGTATCCCAGGTACCCCAAGCGCACACATACATACCATACCATCCAAGTTAGGAACTTACCTGTGTGTATGTGTAGGTGGGTTGTATGTGTGTGAACTGGTGAGTGTGAGTATGTGTATTTATATGTAATTGTGTGCATGATATACAAATTAGTCATCTGTGTATGTGTACCGAGCGTGCGGGTATGGACAATTGATTTTTGTCTAACTTTTGGGGTGTATAGTGTATGTGCTTGAATCGGTGATAGGTATGCATGTGCCTAGGCTGGTTTGGATGTGTATGTGCCTGAGTTGGTAGTGTGTGTGTGTATGGACCTAATTGATTTGTGTGTTTGTATATGTGCAATTGTGTCACAACCTCCTGTCTAACAGCGCAATATTGAGATCCTGAGAGTTGGCCTGACCCCACAGGGCAACAGTCCCAGTTCTGCCGTGCTAGCTCCTCTAGGATCCCGTGGGGAGGATTAGCTCTGCAGCGAGGCACTGTCTGCCCTAGGGACCTAAACCCCTGTCACGTGTACAAGTGCCCCAAGAGCTTGTTGCAGCAAAGCCCCTAGGGTATAAGCCTCAGCTGCCCTGCCCTGCCCTGCTCCCTGCCTGCAGCTCCATCTCCCCTGACCCCAGCCTGGATAGACACTGCACAGTTTGAAGCAGGGAAGAGCTGGAAGTGGCAGTATCTCTGGATTGCAATGTCCTCCAGCCATGTCTGGAGCCTGGACTGCCTAGGTCCCTTTGGGACCTTTTGTCACATCCAGGCAGCAGTCAATCAGCAATCAGTTCACTCGACTGCTCAGAGCACAAACCCACCAAAGAGCCCTCAGCAAGCCAAACACACAGGCAACCTCGGGTTCAGTTGCCTGCCCAGAGTTGAACCTGGTGCCCGGTTCCTCTTCCCCTTTCTCCTCTTGCTCTCAGCAAAATGCTTGCAAACTGTCCTGTTTGCTTCTCCCTGTTCTCTGCTCCCCACGAGATGAGATGATATTTTCTCCCGTGTTCCTGCAGGGAAACTGGGACAGCTGAAGGCCATGGACACTGCAGCTGGGAGCGCTCAGTAACCACCTCGGCTGGGGAAATGTTGCAGTTGCTTTGTCCTGCTTTGACTTTGGCTTGGGGAGGGGTGCTTGCTGGTCTGAGGCCTTGCTATCACAACAGCATGTTGGTGTCCTCAAATCAGATGCCCTGGGATTTGTAAGAGCCAAAGAAGTCAAGGGTGTCCTGTTTGGAAGCTGCTGCAGCCATTCCCGTGGTCTTTGAAAGGGGAAGGAGTGCATTTGTCAGGAGAGCTGCTAATACTGGCCTTAGCTGCACTGGACATGTTGAGAGGAGCCAAAATGAATGCCTCGCCTATATTTATACAGGCAGTCAGTGCTGCTTGCTCAATGCCACGTGTCTTGCATTGGCAAGACTCGGTCGTTCCATAGGTAGGACTGAAGGGAAAGGCCTAGGAAAGCATGAACTTCTGTAGAAGACTGTAGTGCAACTTCTAGCCAGGAGTCGCAGAAGAAAGCTGTATTGTAGTCTGCTGTTTACATTTCCTTATAGTCTTCATCCCCAGCTCCATGCCACAGAGATTCAAATCTTAATGTGTTCTCTTGCTCTTCCAGGTTTCAATCCAGTTGCTGAAGTGCATCCAGGGCACAGATGGATCAGGCCAGGGCAGCCATCTCCAACTTGGTAAGATTCCCAATGCAGAATCAAATGCCTTAAATTGCTGCATCTCTCCTGTGAGAGTGCTTGCTCTTCTTCTGCACACCTGACAGTGCCAGCCTTGCACGGCCCCCCTGGAAGGATCTCCAGGCACCCTGGCTGTGAATCGCTGTTGTTTTGGAAATGCAGAGCAGTAGTCCCAGGTCTGCCCTGCTAACTCCTCTAGGAACCTGCGGGGAGGATTAGCTCTGCAGCGAGGCACTGTCTGCCTTAGGGACCTAAACCCCCGTCATGTGTACAAGCGCCCCAAGAGCTTGTTGCAGCAAAGCCCCTAGGATATAAGCCTCAACTGCCCTGCTCCCTGCCTGCAGCTCCATCTCCCCCGACCCCAGCCTGGACAGACACAGCTGCCCCCTCCCAGGCCTCTCTAATGCCCTGAGCTGGGTGTGGGGAGGCAGGGACACTTTCCAGCTGGGGCCAAGCCCTTCATGAAGGGCAGGCAGCTGTACTCCCTATTTCCAGAGAGGCGTCACGTGTTCCCTAGCAGCTTCTCTGGATGCACACTCAGCACTGTTCTCTGTACGCAGACCAAGCTGCTGCTCTCCCCCTGCCAGAAGCTAACCAAGAGAGGAAACCCGGCGGCTGAGACCTCAGCAATAAGGGGCTGGGCAGCCCTAAGTGCATCCCTTCACCAGAGAGCCCTCTCCCCTCACCAGCCATCCTCTGTTGGGGCTGGGCTGTGCCCAGCAGGTCATGTCTGCTGTTATGTCATCTCTCCAGAGCAAGAGCAGATGCTTTGCTACCCCTGCCCCCAGCTCTGGCTCCTCTTCAAGACCCCTGGGGCAGGGGCTGGTCGTGTCCCGCAGCAACTCCTCCAGACTTTGTTGGCACTGGCCCTTCATGGAGAAACAAAGCATCAAAAGACCCAGCTGAGGTCTCTCACGGGCATCTCTCTGCTGCCTCGTGACCCGGCTTGCGAGCTAACGAGGGGACCTTCCTTTTGCCAGCAGCTCCTAGGTGGCCTGACGGGCAAGAGCCGGCAGGGGGGGTATATGGCTGCCTAGCCCCTCTGAGAAAGCAAAGCCTTGGTCTTAGCACCCGGAGCGGTGTTGGGAACAATGTCCTGTTTGCAGTGCAAGCTCCCCCCGCTAGCAGTGGCAGGATGGAGCTGGGTGCATTGGGTTTCTGTTTTTAGTGGGTTGGACGCTCCAGGTGCTCGCATGCTTTGGGGACCAGGTACCCCTATGTGTCTCGGCCGCTTCGCCTCCTCCACCATGGGAGCCCATCCTGGCTCGGTCCTGGAGGTCTGAGCAGCCTGCCTGGTCCTGTCCGTTAAGGCTCGTTCGGTCAGTGCAGCTGTCCAGCCTGGGCAGCCACCGCTTTGCAGAGCCCGGGGCTGGGAAGGGAGAGGAAGGGCCAGTCTGGGCACCAGGACCAAGGCTCCAGCTCCTCATGAGTTGGTTAACATTGCCCTCTTGTGTTGCAGGAGAAAATCTCAGCCTCCCTGGCTAGAGCCTGGCGGGGTTTTTGCAGCTTAGCTGGATAGTTTCAGCCCAGATCCCACAGCTCCCTCCAGGGACCAGGCATCTGACCAGTGATGCTGGGGCAGGTGGGTCCGTCCATCCTGGACAGGAGAGCCTGGCAACCCCCAACCCATCCCCTCGCAGCCACGTGGGTGGCAGACACGTGGAGGAGCTGCCATCCAGGGAAGGCGTACGGGGTCCTAGGACAAGACCCCCAGGAACAGCCGATGGAGGGCGACGCCCCACCTTGCTGAGAGAGAAATGGATGATGGGGCATGCATGACATCCCACCGGGACCGGGCATCCAGCTGCCACTTGCAACGGAGCACGGCATGGCTGTATCATCTGCAGCCCCCCGACTCGGGGTGCAGGCGAGTGACCCTGTTGGTGTCACCAGGTTAGGCCTCGTCTCTCCACGCACCCCCCGTGGAGTCAAGAACCAGCAGTGCCGCCAGGATGTGGCTGCACTCGCACCCAAACCGGACCCTGAGTCCAAGCGGTTGGTGCCCTGGTGCCATCCAGAGGGATGCCGGAGCGTGCCAGGCGGGACCCCGCCACCTGGAGCCCACTGTCCGGCCTCATGCATCCTGAGCAATGGGCCTTTAGCCACAGGTGCTGCTCCATGGCCTCTGAAGCAAACCAGCTGCTTTGGCAGCTGTACCCAGGGGCCCAACCCCTCTCCTCACTCTCTGGCAGACCCAGCACATTGGCTGGGGCTATAAATCCCTACTCATTCCCAGGTCAACAACCTGGCAGGCAGGGCCTTGCCGCGCCTTGCTGGGGCGTGGGAGGATGCGGCTGCTCCAATGAGTGCCTCCGTGTGCAGAAAGCAGGGGGGCGTGTGGGCACTGAGCAAGGCACAGCCCTCACCCAGGCCGCAGCCCTCGGAGACTCTGACCCTGCCGGGCCGGAAGAGCAGGACTGGGACAAGCCGCGGCAGGAGAGACGGGCAGCATGGAGCCAGACATGGAGCTCTTGCCGGACAGCAGGTGGGTGACGATTGGGCGAGCGTGTCCTGCACACGCGTGTGGGTGTGTGTCCTGCGGGGGAAGGTGGCTGTGGCCCCGTCCCCGGTTTGGTGGCATGCACTCTGGGGCTGACTCTCATGCACCCGGGGATAACGCCCAGATACTCAGCTGAGCCTGGCCCAGGTCATCGGGTCCTAGAGGAGCGGGGCTGGCAGCTCCAGAGGTCACGTCTCGTCCACCCTCTGCCCCAGGCAGCATCAGCTCTGTCCAAACCAGCCCAGACAAACCCCCTTCGTGGGGCTCAGCCCCATGGAAACACCTGTCCGCACAGGCCGGACCAGCTCAACTCCAGGAGGTCCCTGCCTGACCCCTTCGGCTGCTCGGGGGACACGGCTGGTGGGGAGGGAGAGTGGGATCTCCTCAAGAGACTTCCAGGTCCGGAGAGCTCTGCAAAACAGCAGCACCAGGCCCTGAGGTGCAGGCAGTGAGGTCTGGCAGTCTTAGGCCCTGGGGCCGGAGGCACTGCTGGGGAAGCTTGCAGCGCCGCAGGTAAGTCCTCACTCCCAGCCGGGCTCAGGACCCCATCACCCGTTCTCCTGCAGGTTCCCGCCCGAGGTGATCGAGATGCTGATGAGGAATCTCAGTGTCCCGGCTGCCTGCTTCTCCAAGCCGCCCACCTCCTGGCAGCTGCTGCATGGTACGGGGCTGCTGGGGGAATAGGGGTTGGGGCACGACCTGCGTGTCCGGGAGCCAGGTGGGGCGGTGGGGACAGGGCACCAGCCCCGAGGGAGGTGGAGGAAGGGCACGGGAACCAGCACAGCTTGGCTAGATGCCCGTGGAGATGGGCACCCCCAGGCCTCTGGGCTCCCACATGTGCCCCTGTCCCCAGCAGAGCTGGACGCGGTGGAGCTCACCATCACCGGCATGGCCACCTTCCTGACGCTGCTGTCGGTTGCCATCTTTGCCGAGGAGGCCGTCTACCTGGCGCAGAAGATCCGCTGCCCCATCAAGAGGAAGACTCTGTTGTGGAGCAGCTCGGCGCCCACCGTGAGCACCGGGCCCTGGCCGCGTGGGGCGTGATGGTGGCGGGAGACGGGCCTGTGGCCACCCACCTCCTCCAGTGACCTCCTGGCTGCAAAACCCTGCGAGAGACATGGGAGGTGCTGCTGCAGCCAGCGTGGCCAGCACTCGCGGCACCCCTCGCCGCAGGCATGGGGGTGCGGAGGCTGGAAGCTCTGGCCAGGTCCATGGGCCACATCCTTGCAGGACAGCATGGCGGGTGGAGCAGCCTCTGCATCTGAGTTGCCTAGCCGCTGCGGGCTGGACGCTGCCGTAGGAGAGGAGCGGAGGGTGGGAGATGCTGGCCCTGGCTTGCCCTTGCCCCCGCGCTGCAGCTTGCCCCCAAGGTCCCCGGGTGTTGGCACCGGGGCGCTGGGTGAGGCCAAACTGGAGCCAGGGGCTCAGGTCATGATGCTCAGAGCATCCTCCTGCCTTTGGGGTGTTGGGAGGCTGACCAGGGGCTGGGTCCACGCTCTCCAGCCGGCCTCCGCAGCCGGGACGGACATGCCAGGGCAGGTGCCAAGCTCTGGGCTGGGCTGGGGGGGTCCGGACCCTGGCCTGGGGGTCACGACGTGGCTCCTGTGCACTCCCCCCAGGTGATAGCCATGTGCTGCTGCTTCGGGCTCTGGATCCCGCGCTCCATGATGGTGGTGGAAATGGCCATTGGCTCGTGAGTGTCATGGGCGAGGGCAATGCTGGCCGAGCCCAAGAGCCCGTGGGGGTCACCAGCTGGCTGCAGGGAGGGAGGGAGGTGCTGGGGCACAGACCAGGAGGCAGGAGTCC